GGCAAAGAAATTCTCCCTTAACACTATCTCTTGGGCTGCTTCTTTGCTGATTTATCACTCAGCATTTCATTTTTGCACTCAATATCTCAGATAAACACACTCTACCAAAGCCAAGTAAAGTCATACTCACCTCTCTATTTTATATCAAAAAATAAATATGCAATAGTAAACATGCAGGACAAGCATTTGTCTGTAAAGAGAGTCTGAGTAAATGGATATGTTCTGTTTTTAAAAAAGAGACACTACTGTTGAAATTTATACTACTAATTATTTTTTGCGTTCTAGAATGAGAGTTCACTGTAACAGATAGGATATATCAACCAAGTGCACAGAAAATACAAGTCCCAAGACAGATAGTGCTACTGCAGGAGGCAAGTTAGGAGCCCTCGAGGGCAAAGACCAGGAAAAGTTAAGATTATTTTAAGGCTCTTGCATGAGGTGAAGGGATGAAACAACACAAAGAGGATAGACTCTGAAATAGAAAAGGTCAGATAAACATTTATCGCCATCATCATCTCAGTTACTCTTTCTTCTTTTCCATCCTCAGAGGTTCTCTGTGGGCGATTTCTTTCCCCAAATGTCTGTCACCAATGCTTCCCCAAGTGTCAGATCTTAAAGGTGCCAGGAGAAGACCCCTCCCTTCTGAAGAGCACAAAGGTTTCAAAGCTCTCGAAGTAACGTTTCTTCCTACAGCAGCAGGACTTCATGAAGGGCAGGGACCTTCGATTAACTGTGTCGGAGACTCACCCCTCACAGAGCCTCCTCCCTCTCCCCACTTTATGCTATTTGTGCATTAACCTGTCCTGGCCTTCGAACTACAAGCTTAGTCGTAGTTTCCATGAAATAACTCTTGCAAAAACCTGTCTCTGATTGTTTGTGATGATGAAAGACCACCGTTTCCCCCGGGTTACATAAAAATAGAGGCATTTTTTTCTACTGCAAGGGAGCATAGTGGAAGTAGCAATCAATGTTTTGTGATCAGATGAGACTACCATAAAGATTCTAAGGCTGCATCCTAAGAGGTCACTTTTGTTTGCAATTGGCAGGATATCAGCTGTTTGAATACAAGCAACGAGTTGCAGTAGACTCAACTAATTACCTCCATTCCGCCTCTACTCAACTCTTCTTAGCCCCCTGGTGCCTACTTCGTACTCTCAGAGGAAGAAGATAAGCAGATGGATGTGAGCAGGTGCATAGGACCTTGGGCAGCCACTAGCCTTGAGAGCAATTGGTCAACACCCTTGAAGCCAATTAAACTCTTGGTAAATGGTTTCCAAACTCCAGCAGATGGCCTATCGGTCCCAGTTGTGCTGCTCAACATCTATGTGACTTCATATAAGAAACTAAAAATTGGGAGTTAGAGGATTGCTTCTCTCTAGTATATTCTAGTTAACATTTTATGATTTTACTCCCTAACTAGTGTCTTTTCTTCATTATGGAAAGTTTGGCCTGGTTCTATTTCCTCCACTGATTAGAATGCCACAAAGGGGTGATAGTTGTGTGGTTAAAACTCACCAAGGACTTGAATATGTTTTCATTTTACAACCAGGGAAGCAGATGATTAACTGAAACTGTCACTGTCGTACAAAGCCAAGCCAGGCTACAAACTCACAGCTCCTACCTGCACATGGTGGGCTAATTATTGCCACTAAGTTTTATTATTGATCTTCTTAGAGGATAAAAAAGTTACCATCACAAAAATCTCATTTTAATGAAACATTTCTGATTTCCAAATATATTTTCAACTATCTTTTATATTTCTGACACTTTTCTGAACACTATGAAGGTCATTCTCAAATGAATGATTACAGAGCTTCCCTGCCAGAGTATTTTTCATTTTCCTTTATTACGTTTAGAAGCCCCTAGGTTTTTATCTTCCACTCTTGTCCTTCCTACCTATTTCTATTTTTCTCCATTGCCACTCACCTTCCCAAACAGGGAATGCCATTGCAGAGTCCATCTTTTAAATAAAAGGTTATTTTAAAAGCTAATATCCTGAATTCCTTACACTTTGATTGTTGTAGTCTCTAACGAGGGACTGAAGTTTGTCTTTTAAAACTCCAAGGAGAGGGCAGCCCAAGTGGCTCAGCGGGTTAGCGCCGCCTTCAGCCCAGGGTGTGATCCTGGAGTCCAGGGATGAGTCCCACATCGGGCTCCCTGCATGGAACCTGCTTCTCCCTCTTCCTGTGTCTCTGCCTCTCTCTCTCTCTCTCTCTCTCTCTCTCTCTCTGTGGGTGTCTCTCATGACTAAATAAAATAAAATCTTAAAAAAAAAACTCCAAGGAGAATATGAATTTCCTTTCTGGCATGAACATATACCCACATTGTTTGATAATGCTACAAGAGTGTTTCGCCAAATCAGAATGAGAGCCCTGAAGGAAGAAATGGTTATAGGGAAAGGTGTAGGGAACAGAATCAAGGAAATGCATCTTTACAATGATTCTCCTGAGAACAATCTCGGGTTCCAGACCTTCTTTCCCTAACCAGATTTTCTGGCTTTTATTTTACAATGGAAGAGGACCCATCTGTCAGGCTAGTGGATAGACAGTCTACAGGGATTTTCCCCTTTTCTGGACACAGAATGAAATCAGAAAGCTCTTATGCCATTCTTAAATCCAACTTTGCAGATCTTCATGTAAAAAACAGTCACATGATACCACATCACAAAGCATTTCTCTTTTATTCCTGGTAGTCAAATGAAGTTTGTTTTGACTTGAATGTTCTTAATCGTATAAACAAGGAATATGGGAGAAGGCAAGTGAGGTATGAACATGGAGTGGAGTCTAATGGAACCGACAATGAACTTTCTCTTTGCTTGTCTATAAGGTGTTTAATTGCTATGATGTAGGATGAATTGTGTCCCCTCGATTCTCATATGTTGAAGTCATTACCCCAAGTACTACAGAATGTGACTGTTTTTGGAGATAGGGTCTTTACAGAGACAGTCAATCTACAATGTAAAACCTACGATTAGGTAGGTTCTAATCTACAATGACTGGTGTCTGTGGTAGAGGAAATTTGGAGATAGGCATCAATAGGGAGAATGCAATGTGAATATGATGATAGCCATGTATAAGGCCAGGGGAGAGGCCTGGAACAGATCCTGCCTTCATAGGGAGGAAACCCTGACTACACCTTGACTTTAGACTTCCAGCTTCCAGAACTGTGAGAAAATAAATGTCTATTATTTACATCACCCAGTTGGTGGTACTTTGTTATAGCCGCCCTCCCAAACTAACAGAGCTACCTATTCCATTTTTTTTTTCCTGGAAACTAAGCCTCCATTTTTTGGACACATTTCAACTGTACATTACTGTTTAAGAAACATATTTACATAATCCCCTAGTTAATCTCTTAACCTTAGTAAAAAAAAATCTGTGCTATTCTTTAAAGATAATGTCCTGGATTTCATGATAAAAGTCATGCTAGCTGCAGAAGATGTTGAGATTCATTAGAATAATATTTTTACAACTGTGTAAACTGAGGCAAGTTAGAAACCTTTTGAGTCACCCAGTTAGTTACTGGTGAAAATAGTCACATGGCTCCCATTTTTCATGTTTTCCTGCCAAGGACACAGCCATTCTTAGGTATTAGCCAAGAATTACATATCATGAAAATGGTTTTGCCCTAAATTGTCATGTTAAAAATGTTTAAAATATAGTAAGTAGAAACTTAGATCACAAAATAGTTTACCCCACTAACACCACTTAACACAAATTCCTGACGTATAGTCTTAATCAGACTTGATATTTTCACTGTTACATGTTAAATATATTTTTATACCATTTTAAGATAAGCACAGCAATGAAAGGTGCAATATCTTTGGAAAGATATTGGAAAGTCCATGGAAAAGATTAGGATTTTCATTTAAGTTCTGCATATTTAAGCATAGGCAGATGTCCAGAGGACCATGTGTGTATTTGCTAATTTTCAATAATAATTTTCATCAGTTGCACTGTATATTCCCAGGCAGTTTTGAAGAATATTATTTTAATTCAAATTGGTACTTATCACAAAGCTAATTACTTCTTGATCAATCTTTTCTGTTTCTTTTCTCCTTCAATTATTTTGACACTAATTTTGTTCTTTGAGAAAATTTAGGGGAAACATGGTAGAAATTTCAAATACCTGACGTGGAAGAGGACTCTTGACTCTTCTACCCTAAAGGGTAAGAACTAAAGATGAATTGGTCACAGTGACAATGAAGTAGATTTCAACTCAAGACAAAGAAAACCTTTAAACAGAGCCATGCTGTTGCAGAACTGGCTACTGCCAAAGATCTTAAGTCATTGATGATGTTCTAAACATTAAGTCATTTGGAGGTTCTGTCATAAGGAGGGTTCACGCAAAGATTAGATCTGATTCAATTCGATGCGATTCAATCAAATATTTTTTTGTGGCCTTTCCATCCTAAAAGTCTGTGATTCTATGAACTAAGTAGTAATCCCAAGACTAGCTCTTCTTCTTAACATAATGCTTAGTCCTTCATACTCTTGACATCCTTTGTGTTTGGTATAGCTGTGTAATTTCTTTAACATAAATTTATTTTTAAAGATTTATTTTTTAAAAAGATTTATTTATTTATTTGAGGGGGTTAGGGGCAGATGGAGAGGGAGAAACCCTAGCAGACTCCAGGCTGAGCATGGAGCCTGATGTAGGGCTCGATCTCACAGCCCTGAGATCATGACTGGAGCCAAGAGTTGGCAGCTCAAACGACTGTGCCACTCAGGTGCCCCTCTTTAACATAAATTTAGATGACAGGATGAAACCTCAGTCAGAGCTCATATATATCAAGTTAGAGGCAGAGCTGAGGTCAGTTTTCTTTGTTACTTATTAATTTAGTATGAAATCATGTGTCAGTACTTTGGGTGAGAACAACAAATTATTCTATAATCATTTAAAAAACCACAGAATTATTTTAACAGTCATACAGGTCTGAGGATTCTTTTCTAAAGAACTAAGTATGTATGTAGCATACCACGAGATAATCAAATACTAACCTCCTTCATTTTTTCCAGTTCATTCTGTAAAGCTTGCTTTGCAATCTCAACTTCTATGAGCTGTTGCCTCAGTTTTTCATTTTCATCTTCTGTTGTTGTTCTTTTTTCCTCCACATTTTCCAATTCATGGTGAAGTCTCACAGATACATCCTTTGCAACCTAAATTAAGGTGTTTTAACAATAATGTGTAACTAATACAATGAATGAGCTAAAGTTATATTCACATTAAAACCACTAAGAGCCAAAAAACCCCCCAAAACTACTAAGAGTCAGTACACAAATAGTTTTTACCATATACCAATAATCTATCTAGATGCTTTACTTGTAAGTTTAAATTATTTAACCCTCACAACAATCCCATGATATAGGGACTATTATTGTTGTACTTTATAGATGAGGAAAATGAGTCTCGGAGATATGAAGTAATGTGCTCAAGGTCACACAGCTAACAAGTGGTCAGGTAGTCTGGCTTTCTGTTCCCTTCACCATAGTGTTCAATTGTGTTTATTCATGGGTAGAGACATTTCACATATCTCCTCTAATTCTATAACAAAACTATACATTTCCATTATCACTCAGTTTCAAGACTAGAAAACAAAGTTTTCATAGGTGAGGTATGGAACTTGAATTTTGATCCTACGATGTCACGTGCTTACTTTCAAGAAACATGTCAGTCCTTGAGATTAAGTTTTATTTGTTTTAATTACAGTGTACATTTTTGCCTTTTGCTTTAAGATCATCTTAGAAATTTTAGGGTTTGGAACAACACCCTTTGGTGTAGTATTATGTAGTGGCTCAGGACATAAGCAGTGGTTTTATATGGGGTGGGGAGACAGTCTGGTCACCTATTAGCAGATTTCCAGGGCTGGGGGCTGTGCACTTAGCTTCTGTAAAAGGTTCAGCTTCTATACAAGATGATGCTATCAATAATCCCAAACTCATAGGTGCCTTATTTATTCTCTTGTCTTGAGCTAACATTTAGATAGATAACTCACTGTTAATATATATATATATATATATATATATATATATATATATATATATATATATATATAAATGTTTGCCGCGGGGCCTGGGGCATAGTGAGCACGCACTCAACAAATGTTAGGAAAGGAAAAAAACGGTAATATAATGACTTTCACTAGATGCTTACTCGCAGTTTTCTTTAAAAGAAACATAGGATAATTACACTTGATTTTCGTATCTTGATGAAGTTAAAATAATTAAAATGATGTTTGGTTGTCCAAAGGTAATGAAGATAACTTTGGGTTTGCATTGTCAGTGAATCTGCCTACAGTCCATCTGAACTGAACAGACCACACCGACTGGAAAAAAAAAAAAAAAGCACTTCAAGGTTACAATTTTTCCACTGGGGGCAAATTCTAAAGGAACAGCTTCACATTAAGAATGAGTTTTTTGGGGGGATCCCTGGGTGGCTCAACGGTTTAGCGCCTGCCTTTGGCCCAGGGTGTGATCCTGGAGTCCCGGGATCGAGTCCCGGGATCGAGTCCCAGGTCTGGCTCCCTGCATGGAGCCTGCTTCTCCCCCTGCCTGTGTCTCTGCCTCTCTCTCTCTCTCTCTCTATCATAAATAAATAAATAAATAAATAAATAAATAAATAAATAAATAAATACTGCACTTGCTTTTTCCTTCTCCCAAAAGAGCAGCAAGTTGAACCGATTTCCCTTGGGGAATTAGCAAGGTAGGAGGGAGTCCTGAAAGCAGAGGGTTAGGGGGGCCTTGCAGCCAGACACCTGAACTGGAAAATCTTCCCAAAGCTGTTCCTATTCTGGGCTCCAATTCCTCTCCCTCCAGGAGTGTGCACCGAGCTGCTCTCCCCCAGGCCCTTACTTGGAGGGCAGCGTCTGGAGGCCAGAGAGCAACCAGCGTCAGCGCCTGCGCTACCGGAGTCACCCCAAGAAAGCCCCCGAGCTCGCTCCCCGCAGGGCCTTGCCCCTACACGAGAGCCTTCAGCACTACCCCCCCCTTCCCTTTCTCCCGCCCAGAACCTGCTAGTTTGCGCTCAGCGCTGGGAAACTCCGCGTGTTTGCGGGTGAGCAGCGAAGGCCGTTCCCCGCGCAGGTCCCACGGCCGCCCGGCCCCGCGCCCCCGGCGCCCCGCGCCCCCCGCGCACCTTGAGGTCCTGCTCCAGGCTGCGCAACAGCTCCCCGTCGATCTCCCCGGTCTGCGCGTAGCGGAGCCTTTTGCGCTCGGCTTTGCGGAGGCGGTACTGCAGGATCCGGCAGTTTTTGTTGGCTCTCTCCAACTCGTGGCGCATTTCCTGCAGTTGACAGGCATCCTCCTCGAAGAAAGTGTCCCTCATCTCGTCCATCTCGGTCCTCAGCTCGTCGATCTCGTTCTGAGGCGGGGACAGGCCGCGGGTCGGAATTACCCTGGCTCCCCACCCCAGGGGGCGCGCACCGCAGACACCCCATCCCGACTCCAGATTCAGTCTTATTGCCCCCCGCCCTCCGTAAGGCAGGAGCGACGCAGCTGAATGAAGAAGCAACTGGAAGAACGGGCTTCCCCCAGCTCCCCCACGCTGCCCCTGTCCGTGAAAAAGTGGGACAAGCCATCGTAATTAGAGAAACGAAGGCCCAGGTCTGGATTTAAATGCAAACCTAAGGCTGCTAATCTTGGGCTGCTAATCTAGGAGAGGCCTAGGAGCCACCCACCCCCCTCGCGCCCCTTCCCTCCGCAAGGCTCCCTAGCAGGTGCACAGCCCGTCACCCTCGCGGACACGCCCTAACCCTCCCAGGCCCCCGCCTCCCCTCCCCCACGCGCCCCCCCACTTCTCACCTTGAGAGTCTCGTTCTCCTCCCGCAGCTTCTCCATCTCCTCCTGCATCTCCTCCTGCTCCTGGAGCTGCTGCGGGTGCGGCTGCGACGCCGGAGGCGCGGCCGCCTGCATGCCCCCTCCGCCGGCGCTGCCCTCGGCGCTCTGCTGGGGGCCCTCGGCGGCCGCCGCCATCGGGGACACGGCGGGGGCGGCGGGAGGCTCGCAAGGGGCAGGGGCGCCGGCCCCCGGGGAGCCGCGGCCGCCGTTCTTGGCCGCCGCCGCCGCCGCCGCCGCCCGCTCCTTCTTGAGATGGAACTGGATGAGCTCAGACTGCAGGCATCCTTCCTTCCAGTAGCCCCCCCCGCCGCCGCCGCCCCCCACTGCCCCGCTTCCGGGGTTCCTGCCGCCGGGGCCCGCGGCTCTGCCCGCGGACGCGGATGGAGAAGGGGGGGCCCCCTCCCCGCCGCCGGCGCCCCTCTGCTGAGCGCGCACGCCGCGCCCTCGCCAGCCCCTGGGCGGCGGCGGCTGCGGAGCGCCCCCCTCCCTCTCCCCGGAGCCGCCGCCGGCTCCTCCTCCTTCCGCACCCCCTCCTCCTCCTTCCCCGAGCGGAGGGGGTTCCCCGAGTCTCGCGGACACGGGCTCTAGCTCCCGGGATGGCTCCTCCGACGGGCCAGGCCTCCTGCCGCCCACCGGGGCCAGGGTCGCCGCGGGGGCCGCTTCAGCACCAGGCGCGGGGTGGACAGCTCCCGGCGCGGCCCCTTTGGGCGCCAGGGGCGCAGCCTTCTCCGCCCCGCCTCCTCCTCCTCCTCCTCCTCCTCCTCCTCCTCGGCCGCCGGGCGGAGGCCCAGAGCGGCTCCCGGGCTTGCTGCCCTGCTGCTGCTGCTGCTGCTGCTGCTGCTGCTGTTGCAGCTGCAGCTGCCGAACAGAATTGAGCTTCGTGCCGGCCCCCACGGGGGACCGGGTGGTCGCGGTCGTCTGTCGGGCCGAATTGTCCCTGAGTCTGGCAGGTGATTGAGCACGCTGCTGTTTTCGGCTGCTGCCCTCTGGGTGCAGTCGAGCCTCCGTGGCAGAGCTGGCGGCAGAAGCTGTGGCTGCAGCAGGGCCAGCGCCCCCCGTTGGTGGCTGACTCATGGCGGTCTGGGAGGGGTCTACGGATGAGGTTTTGAATGGTCCGTCACCAGATCATCCTCTGCCCTCCGCAAGTCCGCCAACCTTCCTTTCTAATCTGGGCTAGAAACAAAAGGGAAGCACACACATGTCTGCATGGTTACAGAGCAAAGGGTGATTGCCCCATAAAAGAGAAGCCTGGGGGGGGGGTGGAACAAAAAGATGAGAAAAGCGCTCAGTTAGAAGCCTTGAGTTTAGAAATAGGATGCAGAATAGTCGATTCTCATTCTGCCCAGGGAGGCACCATCTCCCTCTCGCTCCATCTCAGGAAAATGATGATGATCCGAAAGCAGCTAAACCTAACATTCTCAAGGTAACAGGTTCTGGCAGTGGTGAGATATGGGTCAGAACGGAATGGATGGGAAGGGAGATTTAAAAGCAAAAGCAAAAACAAACAAACAAACAAACAAAAAAAGATGAGGGGATAAAGTCAGGAAGAAGCTTCAGAAGGAAAAGGAGAGGTCCACATACTGGAGTTGACCACCCTGCTTTTTCAACTTTGGTTTTCCTCCTTATTCAATCTGCATTTTAAAGCCTAATCCAGTAGAGAACGTTTTATTTAATTACTATTCTCAACGAGGGGAAAAGGGTTATGAGGTAGGTTCCTAGAGGAAATCTGCTGTGCATACATGGTCCTTTCCTCAGCTCTAACTCTTAATTGTTGTTCTTGGTATGAGAAATGCACCCATTTTCCTTTAGACTAGGACTACAATAAAAGTAATGAATGACTTTAAGTCAGGTTCAGTTTCAAGAAAGTGATGGTATTCAGAATCATCTATATGGTTTAGTTACTAGTAACCTGAAATCCAAGCTTTGGTAAATAATTAAAAAAAAACACTTTTGGAGAAGTTTATCTGCACAATTTCTTAAAGTATAGAGTGCTGACTTCTGCGCTTATCCAAATTTTATAGTTCTGGTAAGTCATTTTAGTGTTAAGAGTAATTGCCCGGTAGAAAATATTTTCACTCTCAAACACCTTATTACATGGTATATGGCATGGGTAAAGTTTATATGATTAGTTAAGTTGTACTCTTAAAGTGCCCAGTTCCTCCCATGGAGCCAAATTCTAAGACAGAATGAGCGTGCTCCCGGAAACCTGGTGCATCCTCCCGCATGGTGGCAAGATAAGCCTCTATTGTGTATTTTTTCCAAGATAAATCCATCACCAGCTTTTAAAATCTGGAAAGTGGTAAGCCATTGCCTCCTGGGTTCTTCTTCCTCTTGATCCAACCACCTGGCCAGCCAGCTAGTCAGTTTGGTGCTTTTTTCCTTACAGCTATCATCCCTCCCTAAAGCACTGAAAAGCTATGACTATGCAGAAAGTTGTGCTTTAAAAAAAAAAAATGCCTCCCATCAGGAGAGGAGATGTTTGCCAGTCATGTCACCAGCATTATTCCTGTTACTGTGTATTTTTAAGTATCATAACTTAGTGAACATGCAGCAAGCCAGCCCTCATTTTATGAAGAAATACTCCCGGAAGCGTCCTTCTCCACCTGCCTTTGTCTTTTCAGGATCTCCCTCCGACTCAGTTTGAAAAATAATAGTAAACAAAGAAGCCACTAAGGGGGTAAAGTCATCCACCAACTTATTTTCTGCACGTTCTCCAGAGCCACACGCGCCTAGGACGCGTGGCCTAGTTGCACAGCCTGGGTCACACCAGCGTGGACCGCCTAAGCCAGCGGCATCGCCAATGCGACCTTAGTTTTGGTTTGAATCAGGCATAAGCACTCCGGAGCTGAGAACACCTGACACCGTTTGCCCCGGGCCCCCAGGCAGCTGTACCCCAGGAGTCCAAGGGACCAGGGCTGTCACGTGGTTCTCACAAAGTGACAGGACACTGGGCCCCTTCAAGGCATCCCACGTAGGACCCGCCAGGCCAAGCAACCCCGGACGGACACAGAGCAACCATTTCGACCTCCCGCTCCACCTGCCCACCGACCCTCCCCACGGCGCACCCCCTCCCTCTAGGAATCCCGAAGAACCGCTCACTTCTCGGCGGACGCGGCGATTGCAAGTTGGTGCAAGTCAGCAGCGCTTCCCTCCGGATCCGCCGGCGGCCTCGGGCTTCCCCTTGACGTCTCGGAAAGGCAAGGAGCAGTGTGACTCCGGAGGAGGGCGAGCGACTCTGCGGCCGGCCGAGCAGGACTTGGGGCGCGCTCCGCCTCTCGCCCCAGCTCCGCGCCCACTCGCTTTCTGCAGACAAAGGCGCGAACGTGCAGGCGCTGCGGCCCCCGGGCCTGGGGTACCGAGCGGTGCCCGGCGCTGCCCGTGGGGGGGGTGAGGAGGGGGCGCCTGGGGGGCGGACCTCACCCGCCCGGGCGGATGGGGGCGGGGGCGGGATCGCAGGGGAGCAGGGCGGGGCCGGGGAGGGCCTGGGATGGAGCAGCCGGGCAGACCCCGGGTACCCGGCGGGGCGCGCGTCTGCGGGGCGGACCTCACCCGCCCGGGCTGGGGATGGGGGGCGGAGGGATCGCAGGGGAGCAGGAGAGGGGCCTGGGATGGAGCAGCCGGGCGGACCCCGGGTACCCGGCGGGGCGCGCGTCTGCGGGGCCGACCTCACCCGCCCGGGCTGGGGATGGGGGGCGGAGGGATCGCAGGGGAGCAGGAGAGGGGCCTGGGATGGAGCAGCCGGGCGGACCCCGGGTACCCGGCGGGGCGCGCGCCTGCAGGACCGACCTCACCCGCCCGGGCTGGGTCGGGGCGCTGGGGGGCAGGGCGGGGCGGGTCCGGGGAGGAGGAGGGGCCCGGAGGCCGCAGCCACGCCCGAGATGCGGAGGGGCCCCCGCTGGGCCGAGGACTCCCGAAGCGTGGGTCTCGGCAGAGCTGGGTCCCGGGCGGCTGAGCGCCCTTCTGGGTGGGGGCGGGGGCGGGGGGGGCGGGGGCCCGGGAGGGGGGCGTATCCCAGCAGCCGGTTCCGGGCGTGACGCGCGCTCCCGGGGCGGCGGCGGGGAGCGGGCGGGCGGCTGCTCGCCTCGTCTTTGTTCGCTCACTTTGATCCCGGGAGCTGCCCACGCGCCCCCCCGCCCCGCAGCCCGGGCGGAGTCAGCCGGCGCCCCTGCCCCGCCCCCCCCCCCCCCGCCCCGCGGACAAAGGGCCTGGCGGGGCCGCTCCGAGGCCGCCCTGCGGGGCTGGGGGCGGCGGTGCCAGGAGAGGGGGTGGGGCGCAAACGAAGGAAAGCAGAACCTATGCCTTTACAAGGGACGCCAATCCATACTGTTCCACAGTAAAATTTAAAAAATGCGACTGCAAAATTCTTTTTCCTTCCAGTTTTTATTTTTTTTTTTAAGGGGGGTGGTAGGAGGATCTTCCTTGTGCCTCAAAGAATTTCCTGGGTGAACTTCAAGATGAGAATACAAGTAAACACTGCTTTAGAAAGGGTATTTTTGTTTTGTTTTAAGATTTTTTCAAATTAGTATGTAGTTTCGTCGATAAAAGGAGGTCAATATAATGAACTAAGGTTTTTTTTTTTTATGCAGACATGAGTTTTAGTGTGAAAGATTTTATGTTCTGAGCGTGACTTCTTGCATTAAAAATGAAATAAACACAGTTGAGCAACATGATTACAGCAGAATAAAAAGATGTTTAAGCCCTGGTAATTAGGAGCTCTAGCGATCTGTAAGGCAAATACTGTATCACGACAAAAACCTCCACACTCACCTGCTCCAGAACAGGGAAGCGCTAGCCCAGCGCCCGGCACTGTCCAAGGTGCTAGGTATGCGAAGATGAAAGAGGACCTGCTTCCTGTCCGGGAGGCCCAAGCATATTGAAGGGACTTGGGATAATTTCCATATAATCCTTTACATACTTTTTGAAAGTGGAAATGTGGTATCTGTGCCATCTATCGTGAATAGCTCAGACCTCGACTAGGCTACAAAAATTAAGGCAAAAAAAAAGCAAAGTATAATCACAACTTATTTAGCATGTATATCAGATGGTTTGTCATCATGTACCCACACTTGAATTGTAATTTCCGTAAGGAATACCAATATCCACAGATCCCATTCAACTTACGTGGATAAATTGGATAAAAATTGTTTTTCAGATTAATCTTTACAAATAAAATAATGATATTACAGAGTCTATGGACGTAAAATGTATCGGGTCCTGCTTCTCTAAGAACTTGTACTCTGTTCAGTCATCAATATTTCAGGTTTTTTCCCTAAGGTAGTATTATTTATTTCAGTGTAATTAGTAACTTAAAAAGTCTAATAAAAACCAAGAATTTATTATCATGCATGCTTAAATCAAGTAGTCAATGTGCTTAAATGTGTCATTTCATAATTTAGTATTAGCAATTTCAAGGTTGAAGACTACTAATAAAGAATAAGAATGAGCAATGTCAAGATGCTTCTCTACTTATGTAAATTTGCCATAAAAAGAACTTTTGAACTCGAAGTTCGTTGTTAGTTAAAATTATATTTACTCAATTAAGCAAACCCCAAAGATGACTATTCAAAGGTTTTTGTCAGATTTAGAAAGGCTTCAGTATTATTTTTACTGTGTTTCAGGAGGAGACAGGCCAACTGACATTTTAATTCTGTAATAGTGAATTGTCCATTCTGTAGCACAGTATCATGTGCATCTTCAATCAAGGGAAGAAGGCTAAAGTCTCAATTTCAAAGTCCTTAAGAAATACATAGCTTAAAATATCTGTCCTCTGATTCTCAAGACTTTAACTATATAAAGGTATCTTTATATAGCTTTACAGTTTGCAGGACCCTTTCATTTTGTATGCTTAAAATACTGTGAAGTAGATACTATTTTCTCCACTTAAAACATGGAGTAACTCAGTTTGGGATGGTAAATGACTTTATTTAAGTTAAATTTCCAACCAGAACTTGAATTTGGATCCTCTCTTACATCAAGTCTCCTTTTTATATTTTTCCCACATAACTCTTTTTCATACCAGGACTTAAAAAAAATGAAGGCTGATTTTATATCCTAGTCTGATCTTTTCACTGAGGCACAGACTATGTACATTTGGAGGTAACACTATCAACTAAAACTTCATATGACTTTTTTCTCTCTTGTCCAAATGGTATTGAGTTTTATTTTATTTTTCTTTTACTGAAGAAAACTATATTCTATATCTGTCTTTTTAATGACTTAACACTAGATTCTTCATTGCTTAATCTTTTCCCTTCTCTTCTATATCCATTTTTTCTTTCAAAATATTTCTTAGCCTTGTCTTTTTTTTAATTTTCTGTGTAATCAATACCAAAATCCAGAACATAATTCTGTTTAGACTATTGCAAATTCGTCCTATATTAAATAGATTCTTTCTGCCCAATCCACACTGTTTAATGCAGCCTGTTTACACCTTTATTAAGCAAAATTTTCCTCATATCACTCTGCTTACAATCACTGCATCATGTCCCAACTTTTCAAAGAATTGCACTGTCCCCATCCTATACCAAAATGTACTTCTAATACTTCGCCACACATACTCCCTTCCTTCTTGGACGGATTGTCTCTTTGCCCTTTAAGCATCTAGGGCTCATTCTGCTTGTGTACTTTTCTTCTTGCTATTTTCCATACTTAGCATGTCTGTCTTCCTTTTCTGTTCAAAAGCAACAGAAACAGAAGCAACTTTCTGAGCCTCTGTATTTTTCCCACTCATTCATTCATTTATCTATATATAGAACATATATTGTTGACTTCATGTACCTAATTTATGTGATGTCTATTATTATAAAATGGTGAAGATAATTCTTATGCATGGGACATGTGCTAATCATCACAAGTTATCAGTGATAATTACTATGTGCCTGGCATTGTAATCTACCAGTAAATGTTAACTAGTATTATCATTGTTCATATTTCAGGAATATTATTACATTAGTTTACACCAAATTCTCCCATTCTTGAATCTCTATAGAACTAATAAATAATGTCGCATATTAGAAATATTTGGTTACTCTTGGATTATTTTATAATTGCCCATTCAAGCTAATGTAACACTACTTGTTAACTGCACTTCAATTAAAATTAATTTTAAATATGATAAATATTTTCAAATAATACTCTTGTATCTCTAGCAGGTAGTCAGAACAGGGGCTGGATTTTTATTGGTAGACTTCAGCTGACAGAGAAAACCTGATACTTGCAGATCCATCCTCTGTTTTTAGAGAGTAATTTAGCTTGGAGATGTGCCATTGTCTTGACCTTTACTCACATATGTATGTAGTCACAAACCACACTTATTCTCTGGATTACATTTTAGATAATGATTTATGAATCAGAGGCCCCTTGGGTTGTAAATATCATGATTCATCTTTTTATGTCTATGCAGACTACCCAAACCATATTATATGTTGTCTTTAGCCTAATATCTATTCTACAATTTCTCAAAGTAAATGTACATATTTTGTGACTTAACACTGTGACCCAAAACTAGTAGTTAATTCATATATTGGATTCAGGCTGCTTTGAGAATGGCAGAAATTGTACTGTACTATGAATGCTTTAGTCACTCATGCATTTGCTGTTGTGTAAGTTTGCAGTTGGGTATTGCATAGCCAAAATTCTATAAATGTTCATGAATATTCACCCTTGGTAATTCAAGCCACTGTCTAGGTACTCATCATAGCCAAAATGCTGTCAGATATTTGATTTCAACTTAGTCCCATTTTCCATCTTAATCTTATTGGAAAATTTTAACAAGTCTGCTAGTTATTATGTAAATCCCATATATATATGTATATATATACATATATATATACACACACATGATTACCATTAAATTTCTTCTAATATCAAAATTGTCAATTTTTTACCAGTGTTTTAATAACCCTTTATATCACCTCCAGTCCTCCTTCATCAATAATTAAACTGAGGTAAATTTAAGTATAGTAGGCTAATTTTCATTATGCCAGACCAACAAGAATGGCATCCTAAGTTACCATGTACTTCACTAGGAAATTTTAACACAGGTTTTTCATGTCTACCTGCTACCTTTCCCCCATGCTGTTTTAAAACAGTATTTAAGTGTCCTCCTCTGTATGGACATACTCAAGCAAATATGCTAATGGTAAATGGTTCTGTTCATTTTGTTAATATTATTGTATGCCTGACTACTTGTTAAATAAGCTACAAAAGCAATATTTTGTAGAATTAATAGAAAAATGAGCAAAATGACACCTATATTTTAATTCTAATATCCTGTATTTTTATTGTTCTTAAATATCAGTGAGGTTTTTATTTAAATTTAACTAGTCACTAAAGTTTTGGATATTATAATATGCTATGCAAAGATCATCAGGGTTCTCTTTTAAAAAAGATTTTATATATTTATTTGAATAGGAGGAGAAGGGGCAGAGAGAAAAAATCCAAAGCAGACTCTGCACTGAGAGTGGAGTCTGATGTGGGGCTGGATCCCCAGCTGTGAGATCATGACTTGAGCCAAAATCAAGTGTTGGACCTTAACTGACTGAGCCACCCAGGCACCTCCAGGGTACTCTTTTATCTGATGATCCTGGATTACTTGACTTTATCTATTCTTCACTCACTGATATTTATTGTATGTAGGTGTTCACTCACAAATACTCAATTTAAGATAATCTGAAGATGGTTTATTTACAATGGGACTATTTATGAGATAAAGATTGGATAGAGGAGAAACCACAATGGATACTTCAATAACTTGGGGTTAAGGGGGAGGAGCTATCAGCACTTTGTTTAAAAAGGAGAAGAAGGAGGAGGAGGAGGAAGAGGAGAAAGGGAAGAAGAAGA